CTGCTGAGCACACTCGGCAGCTCCAGAGGCTGGGGCTTAGCCCAGCTGCTGCTCACTGGGGTCACTTAACCGGCCCTGCTGAAGCCCTCGGTGCTGGAGGGGCAGGGCAGGGTGCCCCGTGTCCCCCAGGGCCACCTCCTACCCGGCACCTTGTTTGGGGTGTCAGGCGTTGGGGCTGTTTTGCTGAAGTTTTGCAAAAAATCAAACAGCAGTGGGTGGCTGGTGCACCTTCTCAGCTGATCTCTGTCCAGAGAGTTGTGGACTGCTCATCCCTGGAAGTGTCCAAGGCCAGGTTGGACGGGGCTTGGAGCCACCTGGGCTAGTGGAAGGTGTCCCTGCCCATGGCAGGGGGGTGGAATGAGATGATCTTTAAGGTCCCTTCCAACCCAAACCAGCCTGGGATTCTATGATTCAAATGCATCCACTGTGCACAGCAGGGACCAGTGAGGGGCAACAGGGATCAATCTACATTTAATTAAGGTGGCTTTTGCATTGGCTTGCTGGAAGCTCATACATCTTGTGCTGACAGCTGACACCTTCCCCCATCTCTGAATTACATCCTCCTGTTCAGAAAACCTCATCATGTGGACATGCTGGGTGGTATCTGATCTTGCTCAGATGAACAGCATTATCCCTCCACCCTGGTGTGGATTTCTACAGATGAGCTGAACCCCAGAAGGGTGGGACATGCTGTCATTTTCTCCAAGTCCCGAGGGAGAGGAAAAAACCCCTCTGCTATATTTGAAGATGGGCATGACAAGCCAGATGATGCCAGCTAGTTCCTGTTGGGAGGGAGGAATACTGGCTGGAGTGGCAAGAGCTGGATTTTTCAGGTCAGTCCAGTGCTTATGGGCCCTGATTGAAAGCAGGCAGCAGCCATGAGTCAGCTCCCTGAGTGATGGAAATTGTGCTTCAGTGCAGCCTCCCAGCTGAGCATAACTGGATTTTAAAAGTTCCACCACAACCCCTTTTTTTTTTCAATACATCACAAATAACTTAAGCTGAAATGTTTTAAGTAGCTTGTTTTGGAGTCTGTATTTATAAACTGACATTACAAATGGCCCTGCTGGGATGGACACCCTGCCCTGGGGCAGTTAAACTTCCTCTGGCTGGGCACTTGAAGGAAAAGGCAGCCACAAATCAGACCCTGGTCCCTTCCCTCCAGCTGTGTCTCATTCCAGAGCTGTATCCCAGCATCAGCACCGGTGTGGGCAGTGCCCCATCACTCACCCATCCTCACAGAACACGTCCACTCTGGCACCAAACTGCAGGTCTGTGAGGGGCACCATCCTTCCCCCAGGTAGCGCTGCCAGGGCACCACAGGACCTTCCTGGGAGGACAGACCAGGGTACAGGGGGATGAGGAAACAAAAAAGGCTGGATTAGAGACAGGAAAAATATTGCTGTCACCTCGTCAGTCCTAATATTCCCTGGATTTCACCAAGAAACACACCTTGTTTTCATTTTGAAGTTCACTAGAACAGTGAGTTAGGCTTTGTCCTGTGCACGTGCCCAATGCAAACATCTTTGGGATCATAAATTCATTAAGGTTGGAAAAGACCTTTAAGATCATCAAGTCCAACCAAACATTTCCTAACGTGAAAATCAAACCGTATCTGTTTATGCCAGCAGGAAAAAAAAGGGAACATTACTGATACTACTGCTGCTTCTGCTGTTCAGTTTTAAATAGAAATGTCAAGGAATATCCACCTCATATTGTATTAATGGAGCTGTTGGGATGAGGATGACCTGGCTGCATTTTGGGATGCAGGTTGGGAGCAGACACTTAACCTGCTCTGAACTCCAAGGCTGCTTTTTGGGATACTCACTCCTGCACAGCTCAGCAGCTTCTGACCACGTCAGGTTCTCAAGGCAGGTGCTGGTGGGGGAGCTTTCCGAGGTGTTCTCGTAGCCAGGACGGCAGACGTAGGTCACGTTGGTGCCCACAGGGAAGAAGTTCATCACCTCATCCTCCTTGGACAGGGCAGCAAACCTCAACCTGGTCGGGGCAGTGCAGCTCCCTGGCAGCCAAGGAGAGCCAGCCTTGAAAGAGCTGCCCACCAGGAGCGTGCAAAATAAACCTTGGGATCACAGGGGTGCCCTCGCTGGCCAAATAAACCTTGGGATCACAGGGGTGCCCTCGCTGGCCAAATAAACCTTGGGATCACAGGGGGGCCCTCGCTGCAGCGCTGCTGGAAAGCTCCTCGTGCTCACTGCAGGTTAATCCTGTTTCCTTGCCAGGCCTGCTAAGCTGTTGAATGCACCAAAACGTGGGTGGAGAGGCATTAAGTGCTCAGGGGACAGTGTTAGTGGGACATCAGGAGCCTCAGGAATGTGCTGTGGGGCAGCACACGAGCACCCAGACCCCCTCCAACTGATCCCTCTCCCAGAGGCACAGACCCTGCAGCCACCAGCACCCCGAGGAGCAGCAGGGAAGGGAAGAAGGTTTGTCCCTTACCAGGGACAGCACAAGAGCAGCCCATGGAAGGGGCAGGAATTTCAAGCAAAGCGAGAGACAGGAGCTGTGTTTCAGAGGAAGGAAATATTTACGGCCACAGGGCTCCGGCAGCTTGGACCAGAGGTTGCCAGGCAGGCACTCCACCATGTCTGGCATTCCAGGAATTTTGAGGGCACCCTCGATGCATGTGTAGGTCACTCTGGATCCCACGGGGAAGCTGCTGGAGTGCTCATCACTGGATGGTCTGGAGTAGGTCATGGCAGGTGGGGGCCCACAGTCACCTGTGGCGGGAGAAGACCTCCTGGGGTGAGAATCCCATTCCCTGGCCCCCTCCCCGGCCCCAGTGAGCATCCCAGGGGGATGGGATGATCCAGGGTCCCCCTGTGGGTGAAGGCACCAGGCAGGGCTGTGAGAGCATCAAACACTGAGTCCCCAGCTTGGGGGTGGTGGCATCACCCACCCCAGCCCCGGAGCAGCAAGATGGGATCCAGGCAGGTTTCTCTGGTCCTCCCCATGCATCCCATGGCCCCATACTCACCACGAGCCACAGGCAAGCTGAGGAGCCCCAGCAAGGCCAGGAGCAGCCCCTGTGCCCTGGTGGGTGTCCCACAGCTCAGGGTGCCTGGGTGCCTGCCCAGCCCTGCTCCTCCAGATTTCATTGCAGCAATTCCTGAGCTCCTCCGTCGAGCACCGTTGGCTCCAGGGGCTGTTTCCAAAGCTGGGAGGAGGAGGTGCACTGCAGCAGACTCCACCAAGCCTCAGGAGCAGTGGAAACCTTTCCAGAACACCCACAGAGGGAAACTCTCTGTCAGGGACACGGGGAGCAGCCAGGGTGGGGGACAGCTGTCATCCAACAGGAGCTTCCTCGTCTTCCTGCTCCACCATGAGGGATGGGGGAATAACTCAACCCCTTTATTTGTCCTGAGACTGGCAGTGACCACTGACTAGCACAGTTTTACCAAACCACATGCTCTTAGAGCAGAAGAGACACCTCCCAGCCCAAAGCTGTGTCCAGGGTAGGAAAATACCTACTCATTCATTTGCTGGCAGGTAATGCAATACAAATCTCCCATGAGCAGAGTTTAGTGAAGCAAATAAAAACATCTTCCTTTGTGTTTGCTATTTTTTTCTCCGTTGCCTGACTCATTTGCAATGAGGAACGGGTGTGAGCAACTGCATCTGTGTCCTGATTAACCCTCTGACAGATCCCATCTGACATCAGCCAGGACTGCCCAAACAGATACATGCAGGATGTACCACCCAGTTTTTATTCACATTTATGGGTGTCAAGCCCTGCACAGGAAGACACCACAGTCCCACGTGAGCTCAGTGGGGAGGTGTCACACAGGGAGGGTGCAGCCCTGCTCATCTCCTGGTCAGGGAGAGCTGGAGCAGGTCTGGGAGCTCCTCTCACTGCAGATCTCCTCACCTGGGTGTGGTGATGCATCCCCAAAGCACCTTTGTGTGCAAAGATGGGAGACATCATCTCTCCCCTTGGGTGTTTTGCTTTCATTTTAGTAACTTCTAGAGGTGTACATCTGGCAGTGATGCACTGCTGCAAATCACCTGTGCAGGAGGTAAATGCTCCTCCTTCTCCCACTGAGCCTGGGCTGATCCAGCTGCCAGGGCTGTGCTGAGCCCACTGTAGCTCCCCAAGCACCCCAGGACTGACCCAGGACCATTGGACCACGCTGGAAATCTGCCCAATTTACAGCCAACACGACAGATTACAAGACACCTCTCCCCCCCATGGATACACCCCCACCTTTGTTGCAATCCCACAGGGAAGGGGTAACCACTGAAACACAGACAGACACGAACTGATCAGCATTTATTGAGGAACAGGAACAATCTTGGCTGCCTAATTCTCTGCACTTGAACTTATCACATCTATTCTTAGCATTCACGTGCCAGAAATAGGGATGTGAAAGATGACACCAACACAAGGCCAGAAAACTGTTGCCTGTTTTAAGTCCAGGGATAAGATAACATGTCCTTCTTACAAACTGCCCTCAACTGGTTGAATAGAAATCAGCTGGATTAACAGGAAATCATGCAGTTGAACACTTAGTTCACCACTATTTCTAGCACCCCTAATGCAGAGGGTGCAGCGTGTACACAAACCACAGCCAGAAGATTCCAGCAGAAGCACCTTCAGGGACAACCTCTGGACACTCATCTCAGCTTCTGCAGACTTCACTCCCCCTTATCTCAGCTTATCACAGTTAACACAGCGACTTAAAGAAGCTCAATTTAATTTCCTGCCATGCTACCTAATATAAAACACGAACCAACATATTAATTAAAGAGCAAATCAAGCTTGTCAGATTTAAAGGAAAGAGTAAAAACCACTCCCTGCTCTGGCATCTAGCACAATAAAAGCAACTGCCCATGCATTGGTGATAATTTTTCTGGCTCTGGGTGTGCAAAAATAAACCATAAAATCATCCAGAGCCTTTTTATAGATACTGTGACTGCACAAAGTCTGTGTTCACTGAAGGAAACGTGGTTGTTACAGTGCATTACAGGACTCCAGTTTTGCTCTACTTTTCTAGTTCCACCTCTAGTTTTTTAATCTCCAGAAACAGTTTTTGGATTTCCAGCAGAGCTTTCACTTCTGCTACAGGCAGCCCGCACTCAAAGGCCGATTTAATGTAGTGAACCTCTTCACATATATCAGCATCACCTTCTTTCTTCTGTTAAAAAGTAAAACAAAACCCAGAAAACAAGCTTATAATATTGCTCTGCAGCAGATGGAGAGCCATCCACCCCTCAGCTCTGAGGCTGACCTGTCCCAGCACAGCCCCAACACTTCATCCCTAATCCATCCCATGAAGAAAAACCTTTTGAGAAGTTTAAGCAGTTATTTTTCTTATTAGATGTCAGGGAGCATCCACCCAGGCACTCAGCCAGACCATGGGGCTCTGAGCAACCTGGTCTAGTGGAAGGTGTCCCTGCCCATGGCAGGGCATTGGAATAGGATGATCTTTAAGGGCCCTTCCAACCCAAACCACTCTGTGGTTCTGTGGTACTTACACACTTGGGCAGTGGTGTCCAGTTGCCATCAGGCAAGCACGTGGCTGTCCAGGAGTCTTCTATAGACATGTTCCCATCGTCTGAAAACTGGTACCCAGGGGCACATCCCAAAGTAACAGTCTCGTTGATCTGGTACCACGTTTTATCATCCAAAGGGCTTTGCAGCCTTCCACAGGCCACCCGTGGTTGTGGACACAGAACTGGAAGGAAAACCCACAGCAGAAGGCAGCTCAGTGTTATGGGGGCAGAAAAAAACCTATGAAGCTTGTGAAGGCTGAGCCAGTGCAGAGGAACTTAAATTTATGGAGCTGTGAAACCAAACGTTGAAGCAAAAATACTTCCCCAGGCCCTTTAAGAGGGGAGGGTGAAGATCAGAGCAGCCCCTGAGAGATGTCAGGAATTTGTCACTAATTTGCTTTTTTGTGGCAATGTCTCTGTTCAGGCACCCCCGTGCAGAGTCTGCAGATGGATATTTGGCAGCAGGAACGTGCACTCTGAAGGGGAAGTCAGTGGAGTCCCAGCCTGTCTTAGAGCCTCCTTTCTACATGACTGTCAAGAAAAACTCAACCACTGCCTGGTAGACACCAGCTTTGGGAAGTTTGTTTCTTCTGCAAGGAAGGGAAGGTTCTCAGAGAGCCCTGAGGATGGACACAGCTGTGAAGTGCTGCACCCCGAGCTCCCTGCTCTGCGACGGGAGCCGTGGGCTCAGCTCCTGGCTGGAACTCACCTGGCTGACAGGTGGGCACAGGAGGGTGCCAGCTGCCATCAGCCTGGCACTGACTCTCTGGAGCACCACTCAGTCCAAAGCCTTCATCACAGGAGAACTGCAGCACCACCCCGTAGGGAAAGGTGAACGTCTGGGGGGTCATCCTTCCCCTCTCGACCACGGGCTTGGGGCACCGAACCACTGTGGGGAGAGAGCGGAGCTGGGAGTGGGGTCTGGCTGCTGCCCTTGCCCAGGGACAGCAGGGGACAGGTCAGGCAGGGCAGAGCTGCTCCTCCTGCCTGCCCCGTGTCAGAGAACCAGAGCATCTCATTTCCAGATGGATCATCCCCACCCCCACCCTGGAGCCTGTGAAAGAAGGAGGATCTCCAGGCTCACTTTTAACCCCGTTGTGCTGAGTGTAGCACCCAGGTCCTGCCTTCAGCCTGGTCCCATACAGGAGAAACCACTCACTCACCCCTGCACTCCGGGGCAGGTCCACTCCACGTCAGGTTCTCCCCGTTGTCAGAGGTGCAGTAGATGGATTCGTCCCCGATGAGGGACAGACCCTCCATACAGGTGTACTTGACTTCAAAGCCATATGGGAACTGCTTAGTCCCCAAGGCAGAGTGCTGCCCATTGGAGATTTTGGGAGGGGGATCACAGACTGTGAGAGAATAAAGGAAGAAATTAAGAATTTCTTCATTCCATCAGGGAGACAGAAGGTAGGGAAGTAACAGGAGAAATGAGTTCTTCATGTTCATTCTAAATGTTGCCCCTCCTTAAAGTCCTCCTTGCTTCATGCCAGCTTTGCCTCTGGCTCTACCAGTACTCCCAGACTGCCCCAGGTAACCCATCAGCACAGCCCCAGTACACAGCACATACCCCCATCCCCTCCCCTTCAGCCAACCCTCCCTTATCCCCTCCTCTTTTCCACGAGAAGTGATCCTGCTCATGAAGGGGGCCAGGGAATGGTGAGTGTCATGAACACCTTGAACAGCACTCTGAGAGATGGCTGCAGGTCACATCAATCAGTGCATTTCATTAATTAGAGCTTTGACAGAGCACGAAAACTTTAAAGTCCTTTAACACTGTGCCTTGGGCCCCTACTCCTAACACCTTCTCTGAGAAGTCGTGCTCAGGTCACGAGGTTTTCTCCCTGCTGCTCCTACCCTTGGGATGCAATTCCCAGCCCCATCATTCCCACTTACCCCTGTCACAGTATGGGATGGGGGGTCTCCACGTCCCATCAGACGAGCACTGGGTCCTCTGGCTGCCCTTCAGCACGTAGCCATGGTCACAGTGGAATTCTGCCTGGTGCCCAAAGGTGTACTCGCTTTTCCTGGCGCTGATCTCTCTCCCGTGGGGGATAACCGGGATGGGACACTGCACCTCTGAGGAACACCAGCATCAGAAAGCAGACATTTACATGGGGGGGGGGGTCCCCTCAGTGGTGGTTTGCTGACCCAGATGCCTCTAATCAGACCTGGCATGCTCAGGGATGGTAATTATGCAATAACAACCCCTGCTCTTGGAAGGCAGAGCGACCTGAGCCCCGTGATTAGCTTTAAATTGTGGCTGAGGGGATGGCAGGTCACTAACTGCACCATTGTTTGAACAGCCAAATAACCAGCAGGAGCTGCAGCTATTCCTTTCCAGCCACGCCACCCTTTGAACAGCAAAATTATAACAAGTGAGAGCCAAAGCTGCTCAGTGAAGTCCCACTGGCACAGCAGCACCAGTGGGTGTTTTGAAAACGATATTATTAAACTGATGCTTTGTTGGCAAAGCAAAGGAAACGTTGTACTTACTCTGGCAAAGCTTTGGGACTGCGGACCACGTGAAATTGTTAAGACAAGTAGTTGTTGGAGACACTCCAGGGATCAAAGTGAACCCGTGTCTGCAGGAGTAGATCAGGGTGGTCCCGACTAGAAACTCGTGCCGATGGTTTAGGTCCGCGTGGTCGACAGCAGGAGGGCTGGAGCACTGACCTGGTGACAGAGCAGGGGACAACAGGGACCCTCAGAGCTGGGAGGTCTCCCCCAGGGACCCAGTGGCATGAAGCTGAGCCCTGCCTTGGTGGAAACCCCAGGAAGAAGCGAGGGACAGCAGCAGCCCTGCTGCAGGGGGGCATGGGGTGAACTGAGGGGGGAGAATAACGGGGACAATTCACCAAAGGACGTGAACTTAATGAGGATCTGTATTCTCACAGACTGTTGTGGGCAAGACACTGAACCCTTGGTGTGCCCTGCAGCAAGGGACAGCCCTGCAGAGCAGAGGGGGTCCTGCCACCCAGCACCACCCAGCGCGGCTCATGGCACTGCCCACCCTCCAACCCCCTCCTGCGAGCACTGCTTGTGCTTTTAGCGAAACACAAGCAGGTAATTACACCTGGTAAAGGCAAGGAGAGAGGGGTGTGTGTACCTGGGGTGCAGGCTGGCACCCGTGGGTACCACCTGCCGCTGGCCAGGCACCGCACCGTGGTGGCACCCAGGGCCGTGTAGCCGGGGTCGCACTCGAGCGTGGCTGTGCTGCCAGAGGTGAAGTTCTCTGCAGGTTTCAGCTGACCATTTGAAATATGAGGGATGGGACACTGGACCTCTGTGGATCACAAAAAAAAAAAAAAATAATAAAAAAAAGGGCTTTTCAGCACAGCACTAACAGGGATCAGCTGTCGCTGCAGCTCCCTGTGGCGAGACAAGGCAAAGCAGTTCAATGAACGCAGCAGTTGAGGCAGAGGGTTTAGGGGTTAATCAACATCTTGAGCAGCCACCTATGGGACTCAAAACGTGCAGGGTTTCCTTTCCACACAATCAAACACCATTTCTGCCGTTTCCTTGGAGCAGGGAGGTGCTGGGCTGGGTTGTGCACACTTGGGAAATTTCTCAAAGGACCTCTTTTTAAAAGAACCACCAACTTCCAGGCAGAAGCTGCAAATTATTCCCCTTCCTGGAGACATTTATTACTCTGCAGACCTGCACTTCTCCTGTTTTGAGGTCAGCCTGTGGGATGTCTGACAATGCACCAGCTGCCTTTAGCACAGCTATGGGCTGCCTCAGGGTGAGGCATCAGCCTTGGTATCATAGAATCAATCACAGGATTACAGACTGGTTTGGCTTGGAAGGGACCTTAAAGCCCATCTCATCCCACCCCCTGCCATGGGCTGGGACACCTTCCACCAGCCCAGGTTGCTCCAAGCTCCATCCAAGCTGGCCTTGGACACTTCCAGGGATGGGGCAGCCACAGCTTCTCTGGGCAACCTGTGCCAGGGCCTCCCCACCCTCACAGGGAAGGATTTCTTCCACATATCCCATCTACACCTTCCCTCCTTCACCTTAAGGCCATTCCCCCCTGTCCTATCACTCTGTGCCTTGTGAAAAGTCCCTCTCCAGCTTTCCTGGAGCCCTTTAGGTGCTGAAAGGTCTTCCCAAAGCTCTCTAAGCAAAGCTGAGCCACAGAAGCAAAGAAAAGAAGGATGGAAAACACTCACCGAGGCTCCCAGTCGGCTGCAGCAGAAGCACCACCAGTGCCAGGAGCTGCCCAGGGGGGCAGAGGAGCCCTGGCATGGTGTGAGGAGCTGCCAGACCGTGGGAAGGAGAAATCCTGTCCCTGCTGACAGCCCCACGGGGAAGGGGAAGCAACTGTGGGAAGCTGGGGTCAGGCCAGGCAAGCCACGCTGACACCACCCCCTCCCCAGCCCTTCTGACCTGCCCACGGCCAGGGCTGCCCTCCCTGAGCTCTCCAGCAAGGTCGTGCCATGGGAGGGAAGGCTGCTCTGCCCTCTTCCCTGGGGGGAAAAGAGGGAATAAAGGTATTTTACAGCTGGAACCACCCTGCAGCATCGTGGCCTCACCCCTGAAGCGCATTTACCCAGGGGCAGGCTGCTGTGCAAACACCCCCCACACCCAGAGAACAGCACCCTCCATGCTTATCAAGCCATATTTATTATATGCACTTTATATACTATATATATAGCTATTATATATATTTAATATATATTAAATACTTTGCTTTACTATGGATAGGACAGAATTATTAAAAGTCAGACAGAGCTGTCATTGCAATTGCAGTTTTATTATAACCTCGTGGTGAAGGAATCCTGGGTCCCATCACAAGACACACGATCTACACAGCACTTCCCCTCTACTGGATGTTGCAGAAAAAAAAAAAACAGTCTTTTTTTTTTTTCCTTTACACTTTCTTTTGCTCTTGGTGCACACCCAGAGATGTGGCACTGCCGTGCCCTCGGATCCATCCGTCCTGCTCGGGAAGAAAACCTGGCATTTTAGTTTTGCTATAAGACAGGCTTTGAAGTTCTCTTGGTCACAAGCAAACCAACAATGCAGTGAAGTGGTGAGTGAATGCATAGTGGATAAACTGGGCAGCACTGGGCTATACTGGGCTGAAGAGGTGCAGCAGCTGTGAGGTGAGTGAGGGTTGGTGATTCCCATGCCTGTTTGTACCACACAACAATTTGCTTTCCACTCAGTTGCTTTCTAACTGTGCATTGCCAAGTGTAGCAAACAGATATAAAGCTTTCAAAGGTATGAAGTGATGTACAAACTTAACCCCCTGAGCTCTTACAGAATGAGTCAGAAGTCACTTTGACTCCTCACGTGACCAAATCTGTTCTGTGGCCGATTGCTAAATTCTGTTTTGGCTACTTAAGTATTAGCAAGAATTACAAAGTCATAAAAACTCCTCAGTCAGCATCACTATTGAACACACAGAGGACAGTTGCTACAATACCAGTGACACCAGTCAGCTGTATGCTCTGATTTCTAGCTCCCTTTCAAGTTTCTGGATCTCCAGGTAGAGTTTCTGGACTTCCAGCAGGGTTTTCAGTTCTGTCAGAGGAATTCCACACTCGAAAGCTGCTTTATTTTGAAGAATCTTCTCACAGGTCTCACGTTTTTTCTTTAAAAGAACCAAAACAAAGGCAGTGTGAGATTCCACCGCGGGGTGACAAAGCAACCACCTTCATGAAGTTGGACCAAGGCTATTCCAGACTATAAATGGGACAAAACACAGGAAAACCTGGGCAGGTTGGTGGTACTTACACACGTGAGAGGTGGCACCCAGGTGCCATTAGCTGAGCAGGTGGTTTTTGAAGGCAGCCCTGACCGTCCATTACGTTTGCAGGAGAAGGACAGAGTTTCATTCACCTCATACCACAATTTGTTCCGAGACAACACTAACTCCTGGTCCCACGGGGGTCTGTAACACCGAACTGAAAGGGAAATGCAAGTCAAAGAATAATGTCATGGGAGGAGAGGGAGGAGAAAACGTTCTGCAGATCCCACCCATCGCTGGTGATACAACAGAGCAGCACCCCTGGGCTGGAACTCACCTGGCTGGCAGGTGGGCACAGGAGGGTGCCAGCTGCCATCAGCCTGGCACTGAGTCTCTGCAGCACCACTCAGGGCGAAGCCTTCATCACAGGAGAACTGCAGCACCACCCCATAGGGAAAGGTGAACGTCTGGGGGGTCATCCTTCCCCTCTCGACCACGGGCTTGGGGCACCGAACCACTGTGGGGAGAGAGCGGAGCTGGGAGTGGGGTCTGGCTGCTGCCCTTGCCCAGGGACAGGCAGGGCAGAGCTGCTCCTCCTGAAGCTCTCTGCAGCAGCTCTGTACTCAAATGCCACAACTGACCCTCAGCTGCCTGCTGAAGGAGACCCTGAGGTGTCAGTGAACAGCTGCTGGTGTCGAGATGTTGGCACAGGAGCTGCACTGGTTAATGCACTCGGGGTTTGGAGCTCCTGGAGCTGGGCAAGTTATGGAGCTGGGGCTTAGCCAGGTCCTGGCTTCAGGAGATCCATAGAGGAGAAACCACTCACTCACCCCTGCACTCTGGGGCAGGTCCACTCCACGTCAGGTTCTCCCCATCATCAGAGGTGCAGTAGATGGTTTCGTCCCCGATGAGAGACAGACCCTTTGGGCAGGTGTAGGTCACGCTGGCACCGTAGTAGAACTTCTTACCCATGCCATCATGCTGCCCATTGGAGATTTTTGGAGGGGGGCCACAGGCTGTGGAATAAAGGGAATTGATAAGAAAAGAAATGTGCCATTATCATTTTCAGCTGAGACTCAAAAGTCGCTTCTGGGAAATCAGTACAGAGTTCACTTTGTGTTTGCTGTCAGGCAAATTCACAAGAAGTTGCTGCCTGGCTTCTTACACCAGCTCAAGGTTCCCACTTCTCCCTCAGCTCCTACCTGGGTCACATCTATATTAGGAAATATTGGGATTTTTCCAGTGGTGGACTCACCACCCCTGGAAGTGTTCAAAAACCATGTGGATGTGGCACTGGGGGGTCATGGTTTAGTGGGCATGGTGGGATTCAGTTGAAGGCTGGACTTGATGTTCTTGAAGGTCTTTTTCAACCTTAATTATTCAGTGATTCCATCTCCCGGGAGAGAACACCTGGCTCAGCCCATGAGCTGGTGATCAGCACCCTGTTCCCCAGGAGCTGAGGGGAGATCACCTACTGATGGTATTTCTAACACCAGAGCACGGGAATTCTTCTCTGTGTGTCACACGTACCTTTGTCACAGAAGGGCAAGGTAGGAGCCCAGGTTGCATCAGCCTGACACTCGGTCGAGTCCGGGCCCCGGAGGGAAAAGCCCTCATCGCAAGTCAGCTGCACTTGGGTCCCCACTGTGTAGCCACTTTTGCTTTTATGAACCTCTACTCCGTGAAGAATGTCTGGCTTTGGGCACTGAGGTTCTAGAAACAGCGGGAAATAAAGGATGTCATGTATTTCCAGGAAGGACTTCTATGGAGAAGAGTTACCAAGAAATATGAACCCTGGACAAAAGATGATTCTCATCCAAATACAGGTCTCAGTGCTTCCTCTGTAACCCCGAAGGCCAGGACAAGGAATCATCCATGCTCTAGTGCATGGGAGGTGGAGCAGGCTCTTTCCTCCTGGCAAGGTTTCCCTGAGCTTTTGGGCTCATGGGTGCTGCTGTGGTGCCCCATTGCTGGGTTAGGAGCTGGAGCAGGGTGAGGTATTTACGCTGTTGCGTTTTCTTCTGAGAGGGGAAACACGTTGAGAACATCTGCTGCTCCCAAGCCTCGTGTCAGCAAACCATCCCAAAACACAAACCACATCCCCTTCCAGCTGGGTGAATGTCTCCCAGGCTTCCTAGAGACCTCCCAACCCTCTAGAAGCTTCCAACACGCAGCCCTTCACCCCCCAACTCCCCAGACACAAGCTCAGCTCTGCCAAAACCCTGTACTTTTTCCAAGGCAATTCCCAGGCAATATAATGATCCACCTGGACCTTTTGCTGCCTGTGTATTCCAAGTTAACACAGGACAACCAGATCTGGGGACACGTGGCAGTGGAGCAAAATTCTCTTTGGCTTCTACCATCACCATCTGAGGCCTCAGGTAGATTTTTCTGGGAATGTCAGTAGACAACTACACCGTACAGAGTAACCCAAATCCTGCAGTCAAAAAATAAGCAGTCCTCAAATCAACACGTTTCACAAACTCTGTCCCACCTGGAAGGCACTCTGGTGGCTCTGGATCCCATCTGCCATCACTCATACACCGAAGTGTGATGCTGCTGCCACGACCTTTGAAGGCAAACCCATCTTTGCACGTAACTTCCAGTGTGTTTCCATACACGTAATTGTCTCTCTCGTACCACGTGTACTTTCTGTTTGGGATGTGTGGATCTGGGCAACGAATTCCTGAGAAATGCCACAGGTTAGCAAGTGTGAAACCACGGCAAAGCCAACTGGGTGACAGCAGGCTCGTTGTGAGCAGAAGGAAGAATGCTTTGTAGGACAGAGACACATCACGACATTAAATCTGCCCCCAAACCACCCCTGGGCCATCCTGGGGGATGGAATGTTTGCCATGCAGCCTCCCTGCTGGATGGAACAAGGGACCCTCGACACCACAACGGCTTTTTCCAGAGGTTCAAGGGACTAGAAAGCAGAGCTGGTGAATAAAGCAAAGAAAACTCTGCAGCCGGGGAATAAATCAGAAGAAATCAAGAGTCACAGCAAAGACGAGCGCGGCGCCAAGCTGGGCCCCTGGAGCATCCCCCTTTCCCCCACCTCACTCTCCACGTGCAGCTCCTTCACTCAGCAGTAATTCTGGCAGCTCCCAGGCGAGCCAAAGGGACAAACACTTACTTTCACATGGTGGGGGGATTTCCTCCCACGTGAAGTTCGGCCCACAGCGGATGTCCCGCGTGGTTTCTCCCGCGCTGAACTGGTGGCCCTCCAGGCACTCGTAGGTGATCACAGTGCCCACAGGGAACAGATTGCCAGCAAGTCTGGCTTTAACGGCGTTATACACATCTGGAGGGTCAGGACAGCTACCTGAGGGGGAGACACCAACGTAGGGATGTTGCCAGTGGCACAGCAATGAGGCCCGTGGCGGTATGAGAGAATTTGGGTAAAAATCACGGGCTCACGTTGTTCATTCTGAGATGCACTTAATCATCCAAGTTCAGCAATGGTGGAGGAGGCAAATGAGGACATGCAAATATGGGGTTTTTCCCTGGAGAGACTTTTCACAAGGGCATGGAGTGACAGAACAAGAGGTAATGGCCTTAAACTGAATTTAGATCAGATACATGGAAGAAATTCTTCCCTGTGAGGGTGGGGAGGCCCTGGCACTGGTTGCCCAGAGAAGCTGTGGCTGATCCACCCCTGGAAGTGTTCCAGGCCAGACTGGATGGGGCTCTGAGCAACCTGGGCTAGTGAAATAACAGGGAAGTGGAATGAGATGAGGTTTAAGGTCCCTTCCCACCCAAGCCATTCTATGATTTTGGACTGCATGGTAATTTTCACTGTTACAATGAGATGCAATTTCTAATCAAGTTTATACTATCTGAGGCTCTGACAACAAACTCTGAAACATTAAACATAGAAAGGTTAATTTAGTCCCTTTCAATTCTAGTGAGAAATGCTCTCCAGCTGAACAGGATGAGGCTTTAGTCTCTATGGCCCCAAGTCATAAATTCCTAAAGTCACCTTAGTGCTACAGAGAGATTTGCCCCCCCCCAAAAAAAACCCCAAAAATTTCAATCTTAGAGCCATCCCTTTCATGACCTCATGCTTTTTTAGATGGGAACTTTTTTAGATGGGCATGGTGGGGTTTGGTCGAAGGTTGGACTCGATGACCTTGGAGGTGTTTTCCAACCTTAACGATTTTACAATTCCCCTGAAGCAAAGCTGCTGGAGCAGGTGGAGCAGCAGTGGGACCATCACACTTACTGAGCTGGCAGACTGGCAGGGGGGGGTCCCAGAAGTTGTTGTCCCTGCACGTGGAGGCGTCGCTGCCGTTCAGGGTGTAGCGGAAGTTACAGTCGAACACGACGGTGTCTCCGTAGGTGTACTCGGACCTGTACCCACCCAGCAGCTTCCCATTCGCCACCCTTGGAGGCTCACAGGTCACCACTGTGCCAGGGAAATGCAGGGAATCAGCAGTTAGGCTCAAGAGGGGAGATGAGGGTGTTAAAAACATTCTCATTGCTAAAGGCACATCCACCAAAAATACTGAAGGTGGATGTGACCAGGCAGCTGATGAGGTATCTTTGTACATCTTACTCCACTTCACAGCATTTTTTTATTAAGGCAAAGCATAACAAGAACACAGGGAAGGCAGCAGGTGTCACAGGAGGTGTTGGAGGTGTTATATTTTACACAGGCCAGTGGGTAAGATGCACCCTCTGGGCTGTGAACACGAATAAAATCCCATTCCCATGTCCTTGCTGACAGGATGATCATGATGGGAGACTGACTCCTGTTACAGCTACCAGACTCAGAGGGTCTCATCTGCAAGAGGTGATTCCAGCAAGATGAAGGAGAGAGAAGCTTCCAAGGAGGAAAACAGCTGAGCAGAGCAGGAGCAGGGGCTGTGAAGGGGCTGGTGCTGCCATGAGCAGGCTCACACCCGGCCCTGGGCACAGCAGCAGCTCACCTTTGCATTCTGGGGCTGGACTGCTCCACACACCATTGACATTGTCCGTGGTTGTGCAGAAAATTGAGGCTTCTCCCACCAGGGATAAAGGTCTCTCTGCCCTCCTGGTGCTCCGGCACCGGTACGTGATGGACTCTCCGTACACAAAGAGCTCCTTGCCAACCCCACTGTGCTCCCCATCAGCTATTTCTGGAGGGGGTTCACATGGAATCGCTGTGGAATTGGGGGGAAATGGTAGTTGGGAAGAAAGAGGAAGAGAGAAATTATTTAATTGATTTTAAACCAAAGGTCTGGGAAGAAAAAACTTCAAATACGAGGTGCCAGAAGGGTCAGAAATTAAGGGCAGGTCTCGAGGGAGCTGCACACCAGCCCAAAGGCAGCAGTTCTGACCAGGCACTGAATGGTTTTGTGATATCCCAGTCTCACATGCAGCTGCCTCGCTCCCAGAGAGCGAATAAATATTTCTGCAGGATGATGCAGGAAGGAAAACACAAATTAAAAATGTCTTTCCAGGCTCCACCACGCATTGAAATGCCAAAATCCTCAGCAGAGCAACACAACAGCTTCTTTATCCAGCCCCAGTCACACTGCAGATAATTAAAGGATAGATAATAGATAATTAAGGAACTCTACTTACCCTCACACATGGGAATATCTCTGTCCCACGTAACAGCCCCATTTTTAATCACACAAGTAATCTCAGAATTTCCAAGCAGTCTGTACCTGTGTGGAACAGGGGAGAGGGAATTGCTTGGCAAATTTAGTTCTGATTTATCACCAATAACATCACCATCAGGATGCTTTGGGCTTATTTTTCATAATTACAGCAAATCGGAAATTGGCCATCAGTGTCATTTTTTCCAAGGACACGCTGGCTTTTGGCAAAAGCATTTTTTAAACTAAAAAAATGACATGTTTCGAAGGAAAAACATCTACCTTATCAGCTGGGGGTAGCCATCCCTACAGCTCTGAGTTCAGTGTTCATGCCTTTTCTTCAAAAAGATACTGAAACATTATGAATGGTTTGGAAAGAGCCAGGAGAGTGAACATGAGTTTGTGAAGAACTGCCTCAAAGGAGGAGTTTAAGACACTCAGTCAGTCCTAAAGTTCTCAAAGTTTAAAATATATTTCAATCGGGGTCTGCAATTACTGGCGAGGCTTCTGACAGCACAGGCTTTAATCTAGAGGGGAAAAACTTTGGAAAAACAGTTGGAGAAGAAGAGGCCCTGTGCCCCAGGTGCTCTTGGCTTACCCAGTGTTGCAGGTGAAGTTCACTGAGGAACCCAAACTGAGCTCCTCTCCCAGGACGAGTCTGCCGTTGGGCGGCTCCCCGGGGTTGGTGCAATGCTTGGCTGGGGACAACAGCACTCAGTCAGCTCTTACTTAAAGACTCCTCCAATACTGAGCAAAGGGATGGACCAGAAACCTCCAGATTTCCCCTCCAACCCTAAATTATTCCAGGTTTCACAATGCTGGCGAGACTCACATCATGACCTGCTGCCTCTGCAGCCTGAGCAGGGTTTGCAGTAACAGTGGTTTAGTTGTCTCCTCACAACTAAAGGATTCTCCAACTGCAAGTCAAATACTTTTTTTTTTTGACCCAAGAGTTACAAAGTGCATCCTTTGAGTCAGCAGTGAAACACAGCCAGCATCAGAGCAGATTTCAGCTCCTGCCATCATTGCCAGTACTCAGTGGAATAAAACCAGTGCTTCATGTCAGGTCACTCATTGCCCACCATCCCCTGGGCTCACTATGGATACTTTGGATACTGCTCCAGCATCAGCAAACAAAAACCACCAGAAGTCATAGAACCACAGGATGGTTTGGGTTGGAAGGAACCTTAAGAGATTATCTTGTTCCAACCCCCTCCCACAGGCAGGGACACCTTTCACTAGACCAGGAAGACCAAATCAACCCAAAATACACTCACCTGTACATATGTCCCTTGATCCGTGCCACATCCCGTTTAGTCCACAAACAAGGACATTTCTGACATGATGATTTCTCACATAACCTGGACGACAGACGTATTCTGCCTTGGAATTGTAGGGAAATGAGGCAGTGCTCTGGTACTGCTCCTTGAGCTCTGCAGACGGGAGACGGGGCGGAGCATCACAGAGACCTACGGACAGGAGCTCCATCAGAAAAGTGCTGGGAGGAAAACCGGTGGGATTTCAGGCCTGATTCACTCTGAGGACATTTCAGTGCCCAAAGACTCCTCAAAGCAAAGAGGAGAAGTGCAGCCTGTGACTGTGGCTGGCAGGGACTAGGAGGAGCATCACCCCTCCAGGTCCTGCTCCTCACCCAGAAGTTTCAAAGGTTGGCCACAAAGTCCAGATTAAGCATTTTTTTTTTCTCCCCAGCTGGTAATAATTATTGCACTTTCTCAGCTAGAATAATTTTCCATCTGCTTTCCACAGAGAGTGGAAAAAAGGCAAAGGAAGATGGATTCTGATCACAAAGATTTACAACGCTCTTGAAACTCAAAGGCAATGAGGAAAAGAGAAGGATCCAAGCCTTGTGAAAGCCAGGAGAAGGTTGTCCTTCAAGGGATCTTAGTTTGTCCCGAGGGACTCATTCACTTACTGTGGACAGTGACAATGAGAGCAGCAGTGAGGAGTGACCCAAGGACGGCAGCGTGATCCCGCTGCCTCCCCGGCTCCAGAGCTGACATGTTTATTCCTGTCTGGAGATCCCACAGATGTTACCACGTTCTTTCCCTGGGCCAAATCTCTGTAAAAATAGTAGAGGGGTATTTACACTGAGGGTAAGTGAGCAGGTCTTATTTCTCCATCCCCGAGCTGTGCCTGCAGTGGTGGCTGGGGAGCTGAAGGGACAGGAGCGGAATTCCTTTTCTGGAAGCAAAAAAAACCCCAAGACAGACTAATATCTTCACTTAAACCACAGAATAAACACTTCATAGTTTGTCAGCTTCAACTTAAACCCACCATATTGCCATCACTGTTCTTCCCAGCCAGTCAACAACACTTGCAGGGCCATGACTTTGTCTGTGCCTTGTGGAAAAAGTTCCCCGAGATGTCTCTTATGGGTAGAACGCTCTATTTTTAGTGCTAAATCTCCTGGAAGTAAATTCCTAGTCAGATTAAATCCTGCTGGATTCACCAGTACAGTCCCCTAACAATAAATTACCCTCAGAGGGAGAGAAGTAAAAGTTACATCAATTTTGTGCAAATATTAACTGAGTAAAGCTATAAAACATACAAGTCAATCAAACCAAATTGCTTTACCAAATGGAATTTAACTCCAGTTTGCCAGGTTAGTACCTGCCAGCCCTAGAGATCAGTAAGAGTCCTCTCTGTATTACCCAGGATCATTTTTGAGCCTAAACTCTCCCAATGTTACAGATGGTCTGAGCACCTGCCTTCCTTCTGGAAACAAGGCTCTACCTTGATGCTTTCTGCCCTAAACCCAACACTTCTCTTGGCTGTTTCATTCCTCTGCCTTTCCTTCAATCCCAGTTACAACTCCTGGCATAATTTGATTTAATTTACTGATCTTTGTGCCTGCTGGAGTTGCACTAAAGCTCCAACCCAGTTCCCAAGAGCAACACTTAAAGCTCTGTGGCTCCGAGTTGTCTTACCTGGAGGTGTGGAGGCAGGAGATGGAGACCTGGAGCGTTCAGCACTTCCAAGACAAAGCAGTGACTGTTCCCATCCAGTCCCCTGGCTCCAGGCACAGCTAAAGGAGGAGTCATGATCCGCCTACATGCTCAGTTATGGCTCCATGGAGAAAAGCTTTCTGCAGAATTCTGCAGAACCCGGGGTCATGCCAGCTGACCCATAAATCATTAACTCCTCCCGAGCAAGAAGGAAGTAGTTTATTCAACCCACAAAGCAAAACACGAGAAAAACTGAATGCAACCCAAGCAGATGTTGAAATTGTTTGGTTTATTGTGTGGAGTTGCCAAGTCTTTGTTGAAATGATCCTTGCTGAGCTGCCCCACCGGGCAGCAATGGCACACAGCCAGTGCTGGACCTCAGGCATGCTGTGGGGGTCTCCTCAAGAGGGACACATCAACCATGAGTTCATCCCTTCTGACCTCAGAAGCCCATGGCCAGCATTCAAAAAGTGGTTTCTTCAACCAGCTCCACCCCTTCCCATGAAAGCCCCAGCAGCTGGAGCTCAGCAGGGTGTGAGGCCCCAGGGAGCATCACTCAGAGCCAAACACCCAGGGCCACAGAATCAGTGAGTGGCTTGGTTGAAGGAACCTTAAACCTCATTTTGTCCCACCCTCTGCCATGGGCAGGGACACCTTCCACTAGCCCAGGTTGCTCCAAGCCCCATCCAACCTGGCCTTGATGAAAACTCAGATGCCCTTCAGCTCATTGCAAGCTGTTCCTGAATCCAGCTCTTGCTGGTGGGTCCTTTTCCAGTACCAACTTTTTGGTAGAAGTTGTCACCACTTGCTCCTTTGGCTCCACAGCTTCATCCAGGCTGGAGTCACCATCAATTTGGTGATGGACTTCTTACCCCAGGTTGTGCTTCTTGCAGGTATTTGTTTGTTCTACCAAATCTGACAGGGTTTTGCCTGAACAATTTACCACATCCCTACCCTGAGTGGGGTATATTAATATTACCTTGCTGAAGTTCACCTGAAGTTCACCTGGTTTAGTTCCTTCTCTGCAGAACACAACAGGAGGCTGCATGAGCAGAGACTTGCTCACAACAGGCACTGACATCTACAAAATATTTACAGGAATCCAGTTAATCACAAACACAAACATAGGCTTCCCGGATTTCTATTTTTCCAAATGGCCCAGAACAAGCCAGTTTGTGGGCCCAAACATCAGCAGCTCCCCCAGGGGCACACAGGAGGTCTTTCAGCATCTGCACAGGGTGCCGTGGGCATCAGCCACACAAAAAAACCACCTCCTGCTCTGGCAGCTGCTGAACAACCCTGAGACCTCCTCAACCCACAGCTTGGAGTGGCATAAACAGGATAAAAAGAGTTTTGGTCCCTTTAGGACCAGCTGGTTTCCAGCTGGAAATCAGAGTCACACCAGTTGCTCCTCTTGATGTCTTTTTTTCTCCTAAAAAAAGAGATGTGCTTTAAAAAAAAGCATTCCTGCCCTAACAGCTCCATAAAACCCCTGAATATCTGAATTCCAATAGCTCCAACAAAAACACCCTTAATGATGAGGGAAGGGGAACAGCACCAGGGTGTAAGATTCCCCATTTTCAACTCAAACCCCAAAGCCCAGGGACACCTGCCCGCCCCTGCAGACCCTCTTTCTCCAAACACATTCCAGAGACTCCCTGAATTCACCACTGTCTCAGAAAACCAGCACACTGTGAGCAGTTAAAGCAAACAATGGAAAAGAACAGAGGAAATGATCTGTGTTTTTTTAAATCTCTTTATTGTAAATAGAGGCTGATGGCTCTTTATGCCCAAGTGCACAGAGTACACAACATACAGCACAAGCTGACATACACTGCAGCTTTTTAAACCTAAAAAAAACCACATTAGAAGGCAGCAGAGCAGGGAAGTTTACAAGCAGATGGGTGACATCCACATCAGCAAACACTAAATACAGAGGCAGCCTGCCAACAGCGCTCAGGGACCGAGGAGCAGCGGGGACAGGGGGAGGTGGCACCGGCAGTGCTCCCCCAGCACCTTCCAGAGGGGCACAGGGTGAGGGTTGGGGACATCTCCCCAGGCCAGGTGGGTCCTGGCCATGCTGCTGCTGATGCCTCTCATCCCACAGCTGCTCCTTGTCCACCTGGCACCAGGGCCAGGCTTCCCCACCATCACCCACTGCCAAGAAGGGGATGCTTGACAGAGGTGGCAGCTCCAAGGTCACAGCCAGTGTACACAAATAAGCTACCCAGGCTGGGTTTAAGCATTTTTTTGCCCGTTTTCCAGCTTTCCCCACTGCTGGCAGAAGAGATGGAGCAGGTTTTTTGCCAGAGTGATCGTTTTTCTCTGCAGTGACCCATTAGTCCCACGGGTGGCCCTGCCACTGCCCACTGAAGGTGACAGCAGCCACCACCACCAAACACAAGGGCAGAAAAATCACAGGGTTGCAGAAAACCCCCTTCCTCATGGTAAAATGCTCTCCAAGGTGCCAGGCCAACATTCACACCTCCAAACCCACCACACCTCCACCTGCCCAGCCCACGACACCAGCTCTGCTCCCCCCTGACAGCACAAGCTGCTGCTAAATCCTGTTCAATCAAAAGTATCGAAAAAAAACCCCAACCCCATTGTGCAATTGTTGTTTATCCGGGGTATTTGCACGCCCAGTGCCAAGGAAATCAGGTGATTTCAAGGAAATACCTGGCACAGGCACCTGCCAGGAGACGTGTGGGCTCACTGGCATCACCCCGGCCCTGCACTCAGGGCTCAGCAGGACCTGGCACAGTGGGTATGATTCAACCTCAGGGCAATGATCTGACCACAAATCTGCTGCTGCTCTGCTCTGGACACCTATGTTTTAAAAACACATGCCTTTCAAAGGCTAAAATGCAGGAGGAAAAGGCTCAAGTCAGGCTTTAATTAAAGCACCGAGGCACAAACACTGCTGTGAGCAGGGAAGGGTTGAAGCTCCATCCCATGGACACAAAACAAGGACCCACTCCATGGGAATAAGGGACCCCCACAGCCACTGATCCAAACTGATTTTTTTAGCAGTTAGCCCTGATTTTTTTAGCAGTGATTAAAAAAAAAAAAAAGCCACGACCACCAACACACGAACAGCCACATTCACAAATCCCGGCGGGTAAAAATATATATTTTTGTCTCCTTACAATCATTAACTACTCGATGACAACGAACATAATCAACTCTTTAACAAGTTATCACAGCATGTTGTGCGTAAACACCCTACAGTACATTTTCTACCCCTTTTTTTTTTTTTTTCAGTTTTTCCACACAGAGCAGGAGGTTTTTTGGTGGGAGCTGCCAGCCCGACACGGGCGGGTTTGTGCGTTTAGAGCTTTTTTTGGAGTGTGACAGCAAAAAAACTATCATGGACAGGCTCTAAATCTCTTCCTTCAACATCTTTTTCTTTTTTTTCTAGCTTATTCCTAAGCACAAAAACGTTTAAAACCCAAGGCTGGATGGCTGAAGCAAACCTGCCCCCTGGGGGGGAAAAGCCTGAGGAGCAAAACCACTAAAATT